GGATTGCCAACATGCGTTTATTTTTCTCCCTTAACTGCCATAGAGACAACACTTTTTGGACCAGGGAGTTAAAGGATGGCTCTTCACAGCAGGACATTTGTAAATATAAGAAGTCTAACACAGACACTGGTTCTAACACTGAGAAAACTCCTTCACCATCAAAGAGCTGGTTAAGTGACAACTCTATATATGAAATAAGCAGGATTATTTTTTAGAATTTCTCCTAGTGGTTGAAGCTCCATCTGGACAGAAAGTTAAAAGGTTAAAGGTTAAAGATAGAAGGTTAAAAAAAGTTCAACTGAAGTGAATTATAGAATATTTCCTATGTGGCTAGAAATCACCTTACATGCACTCTTTTCTGTGAGTATTATTCCAGTAAAGCAACTTAAGGATTTCAGCCCTCCTGGGTGGAACAGGGAATTTCACCATAGAGTGCTCAGATTCCTGATTCCTGGGTGCTGAGTGACCCTCCATGAAGTTTAACTCCTGAGCCTTCACACCTCCCATCAGTAAACAAGAGCTTGGGCTCCCACTGACCCCAAATCCCTTCTCCCTCTGGTGCATGAGATGATGGTGAAAGAAATTCAGAAAGCAACGCAAAACCTGTGTATGCAAACAGGGACATGATGCACACCAAAAGATTTGAACCTCCAACTGTTCCTATATTGGATTTTTATTTCCCTCCATTTTTGCATAGAGAAATCTGCATTTTTTTCCATTCTCTAAGCGAGATAACTCTGAACTCCTGACATAAGCCTGCCCAAATTAAAATTGTACTCTCTTCTTTTCCACCCCCTCCACTCCAAGAGTTAAGGAGAAACTCCTCACCAGCTGTAGTTTAACAAGTCCTGAAGTCCTGGAAAACCAAGCACAATGCCATGAAATCCTTAAAAAAATCAGCTTCTGGGGGAGATGGGGGTTCCAACAACAGCTCTGATGTGCTACTTCCCAAAAAAAGTCAGCATGCCTCTAGTTGTGCTGCTAATCATCTGTGAGTTAACAAGTTACATCGGGCTGTAATTAAATTACCAAGAAAATCATCAATTTGTTTACTTAAGTAATTTGTCTTGATTGGAACTGGAAGAAACAAAATCCTCTCTTCTTTTACTACCAGTTTTCTTGTTTGTCAACATTTTTGGAAAATGGGCTTTTATTTCATGTAATGAAGCAATTAAAAAAAAAACAAAAACAACTGGATTATTTTTTTCCCATTTCTTCAAGCCTGGAGATACTTCTGGCCAAGGACAACTTGAGCCAAGTGTGGTATTTCAAAATAGGTCATTGCTACTAAGAAAAAAAAAACCCTTAAGAATCACAGGCTGGTTTGGGTTGGAAGGGACCTTAAAGATCATCTAGTTCCATATGGGCAGGGACACCTCCCACCAGCCCAGGCTGCTCCAAGCCCCATCCAACCTGCCCTTCAACACTGCCAGGGATGGGGCAGCCACAGCTTCTCTGGGCAACCTGGGCCAGGGTCTCACCACCCTCACACCAAAGAATTTCCTCCTCATGTCCAACCTAAATCTCCCCTCTTTCACTTGAAACCATTCCCCCTCATCCAATTAGTAAATTAAGTAGCATAAGAATTGGTCTAACCAAGTATCCTGTCCCTGAAGCAATGGTTTGATGACAGTGGGTTCTTCTCCCCTCTCTGCTGGCTCCTGAATCCCACCACACTGACACAGTTTAGCAGGAAAATACCAGGAAATTGGTCAAACCTTAATAAACAGGCCAACTTTTTATTTTTTAAAGCCCAGCAAACCTCAACAAGAACAACAATTTAAAAGCCAGCTGGGTCAGATCCTCATTCTAGTTTTCAGCATGGGCATCAAAACATGGCCACAATGGAGAGGCCTCAACTCAACAACCCTGATGCTGTAATTTTCCTTCCAAATCCTGCCTGGCTTGAAGAAAGAACACATAACATTGTCCATAATTTCTTTTTCAAAGTCTAGACCCCTCCCAAAATGAGCAGAAAGTCTCAAAACAAGACCATCAGCAACACCTGGAATAATTTTATGTGTGACTTGTGACCCATGAAAATTCCCTTTGGATGACACAAAATGGTAAGGAAAAAAATACTGTAAATTAATAAATTGTACAAAATAAATAAATAACAAAAATGTACTTCAAAAAAATACGTTTGACTGATCTGATTGAAACCTGAATGGCTCCCTGAGCCATCCTCTTCCTCCCCAGACATGCACCTCGGCAAAGCAGGCAATCTCAGTGCTGTTCCTTTCTTTAGCTCCATCCTGGGATTCCTAGATTCCTAAATTTTCTTACACAGAACACAAAGATGGAATTTCAGAAGCAAAATAGGCTGAAGTAAGTGGTTTTACCCTCTTCTACAGCAGCCTTTCCAACTGCTGTCCCCCCTCCCTCCCTACGTCACAGCAACAATAAAAGGGAAAAAAAATTGGGAAGTATTTGATTTCCTGGGCTGGAATCCAGAGTGCTTTCCCAGCACTGCTGCAGGAGCTGCATTTCTCAGTTGTCTCCAGCTCCAAAAGGACAACCATGTCCTGTGAGCATCTTGGGTCCTTCTTAGCTTAGTTAAAATGAAAACCAACATCTGTAAAATAGTTTTCAGGGACCAAATTCACACACTGAAAGATATATACAGATATATACACCCACAGATAGAGAAATACCCCAGACTGGTTTGGGTGGAGATACCTTCAAGATCATCCAGTCCCAACCCCCTGCATGAGCAGGGACACCTCCCACCAGCCCAGGCTGCTCCAAGCCCCATCCAACCTGCCCTTCAACACTGCCAGGGATGGGGCAGCCACAGCTTCCCTGGGCAACCTGGGCCAGGCTCTCACCACCCTCACACCAAAGAATTTCCTCCTCATGTCCAATCTAAATCTCCCCTCTTCAAGTCTAAAGCTTATGGAGGCCCTGTGCCCATGAACCCTATCCCAAGCACTTCCTCCAACCCTCTAGGATGCATGTCATACAGAACTATCTCACGATATGGTGTATCTCAGGTATGAAAAGCCATCAGTTCCAGTCTCCCTTTGCCCTGGAAGTCAACTGGAACTCTCCAGCTCTCCAGAACAGCTCAGCCATGAGGATACAGGCAGAATTTCAGAAATATCAAATGGTTTGGGTTGGAGAACCTTTCAAGGTCGTCTAGTCCCACTCCCCTGCAGTGAGCAGGGACATCTGCAATTGGATCAGGTTGCTCAGAGCCCCATCCAACCTGAGCTGGGATGTTTCCTGCGTTGAGGCATCCCCTACCTCTCTGGACAATTCTTCCTGCTTTAGCTGGCATGACACTGGGGTTAATAACCTCTGATAAACAAGAAAATGGGATCTCCTGCTCTTAGAAGAAGTGGGATCTCCTGCTCTTTGAACACAAACTAACTTGAGAAGGTTCTTGCTGAAATGTTTCAAGTTCCAAAAAATTAAAGGTCAGACAGCAACTTCTAGGACACAAACCAGAAACCCTAAAATGACAAGGACTGTAAGGAGCTACACATCCATCAGGACAGTGGGAAAACACAGGGAAGACCTGCAATTTGCTTTATAAACCCACGTTTCTCTAAATAAAATGGGCCTCTAGTTTGTATGGTACAAGTCAGCAATCAAAACTACAAGATGCAGGTTAAGAAACCTGGTTAGTTCAGGTCATTGTGATATCCAATGATATTTTGAGGTATTTTTATACTTCATGCTAGAGTCATCTGATACATCAAGTCTCCAGCAGGCATGTCCTGGAACATGGATTAATGCTGAAAATAAAACAGTTGTTACAGTTTCACCCTCAAAAATCCACAGCAACTGATAAATCAACTTTTTTCTTATACAGTGCAGCAGTGAGAGCTCAGATGGGTCCAAACCAAAGATACTTCAGGAGTATAAAGATATTATTCAAGCCCTTGGAAAGTGTCTTCTTCTTGTACTGAAACCAGAGATTTTCCAGCAAGCCATGCAATGAAATTACAAAATTGTTGCCTATTTGTGGCTGCTGGCTCAGGAAACTGCAGAACCTGGATGGATCCCTGTATTCAGAACATACCAATTTGCCTGCAGGAATTCCCAAAAGATCACTGGGAATTGCTTTCAATCACTTTTAGGCATTTTTAATCCACCATGGAGGCCAAAACCCCGTTCTTAAAATTAATTTTTTCAACTGGAAGATTTAAATCTCCTGAAATACAAATGCCTTGAGAAGTGCAAGTTGGCAAGGTACAGAAATTCTCTCAGCTATGAACAGTTGTGATTTTTCGTGCCATCCAAAAAAGTGTGGCCAGCAGGACCACGGAGGGGATTCTGCCCCTCTACTCTGCTCTGGTGAGACCCCACCTGTAATGCTGTGTATAGTTCTGGGGCCCTCAACAGAGGAAGAACATGGAGCTGTTGGAGAGGGTCCAGAGGAGGCCCCGGAGATGCTGGGAGGGCTGGAGCAGTCTGGAGCCAGGCTGGGAGAGTTGGGGTGTTCAGCCTGGAGAAGAGAAGGCTCCAGGGAGACCTTAGAGCAGCTTCCAGTGCCTGAAGGGGCTCCAGGAAAGCTGGGGAGGGACTTGGGACAAGGGCAGGGAGGGATGGGATGAGGGGGAATGGATTAAAACTGGAAGAGGGGAGATTTAGATTAGGCATTAGGAAGAAATTCTTCACCATGAGGGTAGGAAGGTGCTGGCCCAGGTTGCCCAGGGAAGCTGTGGCTGCCCCATCCCTGGCAGTGTTGAAGGGCAGGTTGGATGGGGCTTGGAGCAGCCTGGGCTGGTGTGAGGTGTCCCTGCACATGCAGGGGGTTGGATCTAGATGATCCTTAAGGTCCCTTCCAACTTTCACTATTCCATGATTCTATTTTTTTGTGTGTATTTTTTCTTTTATAAAGACATGTCATACATGCCATCATTCCTGCAGGTTCCTGTGTTTTGGTGGCCGTGGTTGCTGAGCTGTCAAATCGTTTGCTAAATCTCTGCAGATTTCCGGATGTGCTACTTCCATCTTGAAACACCTACTAAAACATCAAGATTGATACTCACATAATCAGGAAGGGGAGAGTCATTTGAACCCAAGGAACCTCTCAAGGACTGTGTGGCTTGCTCCAGAACTTTGTTGTGTTTTTTAGACAGCAAAGAAAATAAACTGGAAGGAGAAAAAAAGGGAAAAAAAATTAGAACAACTTCAAAATAGCACCCTGAAACAGTTCCACCATCAAGGGTATCAACACAAACTTTATTAAAGAGATTTTTTTCAAATGCAATGCACATTTATAGCATTTTTTTCTTTGTTTAACACCTGTGCTCTGCAACAGGAGAACCTGAAGCAGAGATATTCTCTACAATAAAGTGTGAAGAGCACCAGATGCTCATGGGTCAATCCTTAGAAGGAGAAACCACCACAGAACGAATGGAAAACATGCAGTTTTAGTTCATCACCAGTTGGCTAAAATGCAATTTTTCAGTGCAGTGTCTCATGCAAAATATCCTGAAGGATCCTGTGCATTATCCAGCTCAATAACTTCATGGCTTAGTAGAAAGAGGCATCACAGAAACTTTGGGTATTTGGAGGCTGAGTTTTTGCACCTGACTTGTAGATATTCTTTCAAATTTATTTTAAATTAAGATAATAAATTATCTGTGAAATCAGAGGGCCAGATACATACAAATGAACATTTTTGGTGCATTTAGAAGAAAAAAACACAGCAAGGACACTGGAAGGATGGTGTAATCTGACATACATGGAGAATCTAACTTGATTGCCATGGTGGAAGGAGGTATGAGAAGAAGACTGAGGCCACCAGCCAGTGCTTAGTGACTTGGAGGAGTCAGATCATTTTGGATTTCCAGATAACTCACTTTTCCTCCTCCCCAGATTGTTAAAACTCCTAAGTTAGAAGGACTTCTGTATTTAAAAGCTTTCTTCTGGCTCTTTTTGGAGCACTACAGGATGCCTAGCACACTTTCCCTAGGATGACTGGGTTGGTCCTTGACATATAAGCACCAACAAAACTCATGAATGATGCTCTTGGAGCTGGTGAGACTTGGGCCAAGGAGCAGTGACAAACTTCTGGGTCAGCAGATTCAGTTACAAAACCCTAAAATCAGTTAATTAATTTTGAAAAAGAAGTGGTAAAATACTACCTCGGTGTTATAGTCTACATAGTGTGTATTTCTTGGAACTGAAGGACAACATCAGGGCTTGGAAAGCTTTTCTACCTCAAGAAATGATGCTCAGCATTTGAAGAAGTCCTCATAATTTTTTTTATCTGAAATAGATCATTGATCTTATATTCTTCACAGTGGGTAGGAGTAGATTCCTCAGAGTATCAGTGCTCATCCCTTTGTGGCTAGTCAAGAGCCTCAGGAAAAGGCTTCTCCAACACTTCTTAGCAGCAGAAGGATTTAGTTTCACTTCTCAAGGCCAAATCTCATCCCTCAAGAGCCATCTCAATAAATTCCACCACTCCCAACACCTATTCAAAGAATCACAGACTGTTTAGGGGTTGGAAGGGACCTCTGGAGATCACTGAGGCCACCCTGCCAGAGCAGGACCAATTCTAGGGCAGGTCACACAGAAATACATCCAGATCTCTCTTGAGAGTATCCAGAGAAGGAGACTCCAGAACCTCCCTGGGCAGCCTGTCCAAGGGCTAAATCTTCAGTCAGATACTTCTTAGAACAGATTAACAGCCTTCTAAGGACAACCTTCACCACACTTAAGGCACCTAATTAACCTCCATGAGAGCCTCTAGGTCGGTTCTACCATCCTGAAGGTTCAGCCAGCAGGAGGAACAAGCTCAAGATGGCACAGCCAAAACCAGTCCCGATGCCTTGGCTGCCCCAATAAAGCTGGTGCTGCGACAACCACAACTGGACCAATACAGCAAGAACATCAGGTGACATGACGAGACCCCCGTGGTGGTTATGAGGGAGGAGAACATTTGGTGTTTGGAGGATAACACAATGCCTTTGACGTCATGCAAACTGGAAGCTTATTTTTCCCTTCTAGCTCTCCAACACAGCCTCGACGAGACGTGTCATTCCAGGGACCAAATGCCAACCTCCCACTAACTCAGCTATTAGTCAAAACCACCAGAACATTCCCAACATTTCCCATTAAAAAGGGAAGAAGCCACACAAAGCAGTAAGATCTACTAGTAGGTCTCCCACCTTTTCCCCCCCTCTCATAATCTGCTGTTGTATCCACAGGCTGAAAGTTTCATTCTGAGCACAATCTGGATTTAGAAACTGGCCTGTGGTGTGAAAGAGCAGAGCTACTTCTTGGCTCACTGGTGGTTTTTTCCACTGACTGCCATGGGGCTATCAACCATTAGAAGGACACTTTCTAAAAGTTAGAACTGATGTTCAGAACAAGAAATGTGCTCATACCTCAACCCATCTCTCATTCCAGAAGTATTTATGGACCAATGTTTAGGAAACAAACGAAGAGGTTGAAATGACAGCAAGATGAAATACTACCTGGTGTCTATGAGAGATCATCAATCCATGGATGAGTTCAACCAACGAGGAAGACTCAAACCTCAAGGTCTCATATTTCTGATTTTATATGAATTATGAAAGCACTGGTTTCTTAACTCTATAACAACCACGAAGCATTTCTGTTGAATTTAACACAAGGCTGAACCTCAATCAATAAAGAAACTTTTCCAGACTAAACACTAATGGTCGCATGAACACAAGTGATGTGATGATTTGTTATTTGCACACACAGTAAAAATCAAACCAGTAATATAGAACTTAAAGGTTTTCAAAAAGCCAATTCCACAAGATCCACAAAGGTTCAAAAAAAACCCAACCAAACCCAACAGTCAATAGTGTTGAAAATTCTTTTATGAACTTTCTTCTTAGTCCACCAAAAATCACAAGGCAACAATCATGAAAAAAAACAAAGCTTCTGCAAGTTCTACAGAACATCTGACTTGGAGCAAAAATGAGCTAGTAAAGTGTAGAATCAAAGAATGGTGAAGGTTGGAAGAACCTTAAAGATCATCAAGTTCCAACCTTTCTTAGAATTACTTAAAATTAGAAGACGGATGTAAATCCAACGTTAGAATTTGCCAACAACTGGACCATTCTGGAAGCTTTGGAGAAAAAGGATGAAAGGTAGTAGTGCATCTTATTTTAAGAAAGTAGAAGGGAAAATCCAAAATAAGGACATGCCAGTAAAGCCAGAGCCTAATAATGGACCAACTACTGTGAGACTCTTTCAAAAAAAGATCTCATCAATACAGGAAAGCAGATCTTGAATCCTAAAACAACTTTTCTTCATAGGGCCAAAGAGGAAGAAATTCTTTGGTGTGAGGGTGGTGAGAGCCTGGCCCAGGTTGCCCAGAGAAGCTGTGGCTGCCCCATCCCTGGCAGTGTTGAAGGGCAGGTTGGATGGGGCTTGGAGCAGCCTGGGCTGGTGGGAGGTGTCCCTGCCCATGGCAGGAGGGTTGGATCTAGATCTTTCCAACCCAAACCATTCTATGATTTCACTGTCCATCTGTACAGACTCAATCCTACTGTGCACCTGCTGATGGAGAATTGGCAACCACCCATAAAGTCTCTATTTTCAACTGTTTGCTCTTCAGGCTCCAAGATGGCCAGGAAGGGACTGAAGGTTTGACAGCATAAACCATACTAATTTCAGTTGTAAGGTCCCTTCCAACCCAAACCACTCTGGGATTCCATGAAAAACAAGAGTTCAAGAGTGGGAAACCAACCCAGCAAATCCTGAAAGGTCAGGATTGAGTTAAATGACAGAAAAAAGGAAGGATGGGACTTCCACAACCCAAATCACTACTGAGCCTCTCAAGGAGAAAAATATAACATAACCTGAGTATTAAAAAACATTCTGTATGTGCTGAGCACTTAATTACTTGAGGACTAAACCTTTGCTCAATGTAATTCATGAGAAGCTTGGAAATTCAGCTGTTTGGAGTCTTTTCTCCTCTCTCTCCTAGTGGAGAAGTTCACTGCAAACAAACTGAGCAGCACACAAACACAACATTCTATTTGCTGATGGAAAATAAGAGCTCCATGGATCACAAATTTGGATGAAGAATGTTTTGAAACAATTCAGCAACACCCCGTGCTGTTTGTTCTCCCTGCTCTCATATACAGGCCAAATGGACCATTGTTCTCAATTTTCAGGAATTAAATGGAAGCTCAAAACACCAAAAACATGTTATACAAATGCTCCTTAAACAATAGGATTTTATAATGTGTGAGCACCACAAAGATATCAGAAAAAAAAAAGCTCTTATATAGAAAGGATAAAAAATATCTACATTTTCAAACCTGATGTTTAGAGGTTAATTCCTGTGTGTTTAAAGAACACTTAAAACCATAGGATCATAGAATGGTTTGGGTTGGAAGGGACCTCCTCAGGGATTTTACAGGAAATACCCTAGTGCATTTGTTCTGATGTGACCTCTCATGTGCCCATCTTCGAACAGATGAGCAATTCAAGTCCTCTGCTTTTAAATGTACGTGTAGGCATCTTACCCAGCACACTGTCTGTTTTGCTGTAATTCATAAAAAATTAGATTAAAACCACAAAGTGGTGCTCTACTCCTCTATTCCACACTCATGAAACCCCAGCTGGAGAACTGTGTCCAGTTCTGGAGTCCTCAACAGAGGAAGAACATGGAGCTGTTGGAGAGAGTCCAGAGGAGGCCACAGAGGTGCTGGGAGGGCTGGAGCAGCTCTGCTCTGGAGCCAGGCTGGGAGAGTTGGGGTGTTCAGCCTGGAGAAGAGAAGGCTCCAGGGAGACCTTAGAGCAGCTTCCAGTGCCTGAAGGGGCTCCAGGAAACTTGGGGAGGGACTTCTCACAAGAGAAGACAGTGACAGGACAAGGGGTCATGGTTTTATATTGAAAGAGAGGAGATTTAGGTTAGACATTAGGAGGTAAATCTTCATCATGAGAGTGGTGAGACCCTGGCCCAGGTTGCCCAGGGAAGCTGTGGCTGCCCCATCCCTGGCAGTGTTGAAGGGCAGGTTGGATGGGGCTTGGAGCAGCCTGGGCTTGTGGGAGGTGTCCCTGCCCATGCAGGGGGGTTAGAACATCATGATCAATAAGGTCCCTTCCAGCCTGAACCATCCTATGATTCTATGAGGCAAATCACATTCAGGAAAGGT